CCAACGCGCTCAATTGCCCCATGAATGATACGTTACTCTTGTCAAAACCCACAAAGACGTTCGAGCAGCCCCCCACTGTCGCGGGCACAACCCAAGGACAAGTTGGCCGCGGAGTTCCACGGCTGAGATCCATGGCGAAGTTGAGTGCACCATCGAGAAAGAAGTTGCCTTCCAAGGCTTGGCTGCTTTTTCGAGAAGGGGCAAAAACAGGTTAGTGTTGACAATTGGCGTCCTGTTGGGCGGGAAGAAAACAACACCACGGGAGTCCTTGCACGCTGTCCTTGAAAGAATCCTGCAAAAGTTACCAACAAGAGCACACTTGCTACACAAGAGCAAATTGCAAAGGCGAAGGAGCTATATATCTCGAGTTTACAAATCAAACCAGACTATATTGACATGGTTTTGTATAGTAAACTTGACAAGATAAAGTTTTGAAGGTGTCTTACTTACATCAGGAGAGGAAGAAAAGAAAACGCTTGAGTTGTAGAAGATTTCCACATGAAGACGTATGTAAAACCAGAAGAAGTGTCAAGGTTCATGCTGACATTACATCCTGCTGTTCCAAATCCAATCTCCTGCTTTTCCAATTCAAGTTCTCAAAGTGATAAGTCAGAGTTTGTGGTGGTGGTGTGTCACCATTTACAGAAACATTGTAGCAGAAATCGTTGCCAAGCAGTGCTGCAGTTTCGTTGCTCGATACTTGAGTAAGGTTGGAGTTGAGGTTTTGTATGGCTTGCACAAGAGGGGTGTAGGAATCTGGTGTGAAATAGCTGAATGCAAACATGGAATCAATGATCGTTCCTCCAGTTCCATTTGCAAGAATGCCTTTCACCAGAAAAGTCAACGTGTCGTTGATATTTATGGATCTCAAATGGATGTAATGCAACGCAGTGGAATTTGGGTTACAATCATTGGAGAGTAAGAAAGAGAGGAGTTTGATGATTTCTTATAGTTGCCAAACACGATTTTGCTACTAAACGTATCAAATGGAACACAATAAATAAACGTGCTTGTATAGTCCATTTTGTATCCAAACTATGTACCACTCTCATCACACTAAAAAGATAATCGAGCCATGGGATTTTGGGTGTGTTTCAGGATAGAGAGATTGAAGAATGCAAAGAGCTGCATCATTTTCTCTCTGCAAAGGTGTATCGATTGGCTTTTTATGGATGATGCTGCTGCTGAAGTATTGTAATTATCACCAAGTAATGTATGCTATTAATCATGAGATGCTTTTTTGATTATAATTATTAGACATAGTTTTCATGAGCAGAATCAATTTTGAGTGAGTAGTGTTACAACATAAACAGTCAAGAGTGTTTACATGAGTTTACAGTGAGTTTATTTACTGTCTAACTTTTTAGCTTTTCCAATGTTTGTCTTACATCTTGAGTGCTTACAATTTTGTTAAGTAGATTGTTTATTGTTTTTAATTCATAATACTTATGCCCTTTTCTGTTTTTGAATGTGTGGATGACAATTCCATCACAAGCAAAAGGACTCTAGTTTGTTGTCCACAATCACCATGTGGTTGAGGTCCCACCCTAATCTTGAAAGGTCTTTCACAACTTTTTTTCATCTGACTTCCTTGGTCAAGTGCGAATCTCTGTAGAGACAATGGGTAAAAAAATTTCCAATTGGATTGAGCTTGTCCAAAATTTTTTTTACATATAGCTTCATTGCTCCAGTAAAAACCATAATCTCATATATTTTACTCATCTTTTTTAGAAAGCCAACTTTTTTGCCATAAGGTAGTGCTCTAGTAGAATAGTTTTCCCATTGAAGAGTTTGAGGGATGTTATAGCCTTCTGGACATGGATTAGTGTCTCATTTATATCTAACATAAGTGTGGGTTTTTTCTCTAAAGCTGGTGGTAGTAGCAAAGAATTGTTTGACAACTTCACCTTTTTGTTCTTCTCTTTGATGGTGATGTTAAGCATCATAAAACTCCCCCATACTCCTATAGCCTCTTCATAGTTATGAAGAAAAATAAAAAGAATGTAAGCCCTAGCTTAATTGCAGTGAATCTTTATAAATTAAGTTAATACATATGTTGCTTGGCCAAAATTATGGAAGTAGAAATTCAACAATGACACCAACCCCAACACTAAGAGTCTCTGGGCAGCTCAAGCTCCACACTCGGGATCTTTGTGAATCTTCTAAGCAGCTAGTAACAAGACCCAAGCAACACTCTCAAGCTTGAAGGGCGTGTTGTGGATGAGTTCCTTAACTTTGTCCAACTCTTTGGCCCTTGCAAATGTGTCAACAAACCCTAGTGTTCTACTGTGGGCTTGACTCTAGAGTCCCAGATCATTAATTAGAAGTATGTAATCTCCTGAGTTTGGACTTCCCGGAAGGTCATCCAGCCCAATACTATTTAAACCTAAGGACGCTTAACCTCAAATATCCCAAGACCCTTAACTGATTGGAAAAAGGGATACACTCTTATTCATGGGCTCTTTCCCTTTATATTTGAACCCTTATGGGTTGTTCTCTTTGGTTGCTTATAATTCACCATGTTTCTCTACAAGTTCATGCCCTAGTGAATAAAAGCTAAGGGCCGCAGCTCTCCCGAGAGCCCCGCTCTCTTGACACCCTACCCCTCGGGTCGAGCCCAGCAGAAGCAAATTGGACCAACCAGATGTCAACTAACATGTGGTGTGATTCCTTTAGCCAACCAACAAAGTCGAACTTAAGACTATTCCGATACCAAATGTAAGCTCTTGAGTTTAGACTTCCCAGGAGGTCATCTAACCCAATACTATTCAAACCCAAGGACACTTAACCTCAAGTATCCCAAGACCCTTAACCGATTGAAAAAGGGAGTGCACTTTTATTCATGGGCCCTTTCCCTCTATATTTGAACCCCTATGGATTGTTTCTCGAGTCGTTTCCTTTGGTTGCTTACAAAGTAGTCTTAAGATCTTCACCACACCTAAGTGGCAGCACACCACAAGCACACTCATAAAGACGATGTGATTAGGCATCATGCTCTCTTGGATGGTCCTATAGAAGGTTTCCAAGGCCCCAATTACATGCCCAGTGGAAGCATACATAGTGACCACATGAGACCAATTCTTGCTCTAGCATTCTCTCGAACCAAACTCAAGCTTCCAAGAGGAGTCCCTTGTGAGTGAAGCCTGCCACCATTGCCATCTAGGTGATCACATCATGCTCCTCAGTCACCTGGAAGAGGCTCATCGCTTCTTGGAGGTGGCCGTTCCAAAGATAGGCCGAGAGGAGCACTGTGCTTGCTATCTTGCTATCATAAGGCATTTTCAAGATGGTTTCTAGAGGCAAGCATATGGATCATTGTCGTCCAAGAGATCTCGTCACAGTGAGCCATCTTTTGGAAAGAATCTAGTGCCTCGTCCAAATGCCCATTCGCGGCATATGGGCAAATCATGGAGTTCCAAGCCACCACGTCTTTGTTTGGCAGCCTCTCAGACAAAGGTTTAGCCTTTCCCACGGAGCCGTTAGATGCCTAGCCGTCAATCATAGCTGTAAATGCCACCTCACTAAACTTCGGGGCATCTTCAAAGAGAATCTTTGTATGCTCCATATGCCCTGCCTGGGCATATGCTGTGATCATGGTCGTCCATGTTACTGCATTCCTTGTGGGCATTCTATCAAAGAAATCTTTAGCTTCATCCAGCCCCTTGTTCTGGCAGTGGCCTTGTATCATGGCCGTCCACGCCACCACGTCCTTTTGGGGCAGCTAATAGACACACCGAGAGATGCCCGTTATAGGACGATCATGGCGGTGCTAGAAACGAGGGTTTGCTCAGGCATAGAGTGGAATACCGCCTCCGCCTCGCCGAGATTGCCACTCTGCGAGTACATCTCGATCATCGTGTTCCAGGTGATGGAATTCTTTGGCAGGGATGCGATCGAAGAGCTGCTTGGCGCGCTGCACGTCCCCGGCCGAGATCATGGCATTAATCTCCTGCCGCGGCATGCTTTCCAGGACCGATCGCGCCTGCTCCAGGTCGTGGTTGGGAATGTAGGCCTGGAGGGTGAGATTCCAAGTGAAGAGATTGCGATCCGAGGTAGAATCGAAGACCGCTAGGCAGCCGCAGCGGCCATACATCTGGACGAGGAGATTTCACAGGAAGACGCTGTTATTGTGGTCGCTGTGAAGGATCTGGGCGTGGATCCGGCGGCCGGACTGTCGCAAGATCTGACGAGGGCGGCAAGCTCTTGGACGCCAGGAACGCGCATCGCATCGTGGCCGTTGGATGATGGGGACGTCTGAGGTTCAATTCCTGGCAGGTTCTAGCTACCAGCGACGAAGTTTTCATGGCACGCGGCGAGAACTCATCCCCCGTCGTGCAGCCGCACTCCAAATGCCGCAGGCAATCGCAATCGGGGGCGCTCGTCAAGGACACAATTAATTTCCATCTTTTCTTGTGGCTTGGATGGATTTCTCTTGCTGCGAGTTCAGCAAGTTGTTCGATGAATGACTTGTTTGTCTTTGCAAATCCCACCAGGCCTGATGTATTGATAGTTCCCAGCAATGTCGTGCTTTCTCGACCACGTCCAAGGGACATTCTAAGGCTTTTATTGCTTCTAGTTTTGCGTGGAGTTTTCATGGTTACAACAACACTAGCCATCTCACCGGCTGAGGAGTATTTGGGGCTGTAAGAAGCATTATATAAGCAAGTCGTGGAAGCCACGGCTGAAGATCCGCAAGCGTTTGTGGAGAAATCAGGGATCTCGAGCAGAAAGGAGAGGTGCAAGGAATTCTAGTGAGATTTCTAGTGTATGATGTGGATGATACTGGTGAAAAGCGGGGTTGTGCTACATGGGAGTTCCCAAATTGAGATTCATGGCGCCGTTATCTACAGAGAAACTCGTCTCAAGGCCTTCGTCTCCTCCTCTCAAAAACTCGGGGGAGTTGGCTGGAGTTCGTCTTCGCTCGAGATAATTTATACATGGTTAAAACATCTTCTATATCTGCTTGATTTAATTGGTAACACACAAACATGGCAACTTAATTTAGTTTCACAAATATTATTTCTTTTTTATTCCATTCTTAGAAACTTTATACAAACGGAAATCTGTTGCAAGAAGAGCAACTACAACAACACAAGTACTTGGTAGAAATGGACAGCTGCTTCTAAAATACTACTCATGTCGCAGCTCCATCGTATCTATAGATAGTAGCTTTCACTTGTGGCAGCTGCAATCGTTGCAGGAGCAGTTTGGCCCACACTTGCATCCATTCTCCTCTCGCGACATGACAGATTCCCCAGAGATTCCAGACGAGGCGGAGACAATGCTGCTCAAGCTGTGTCACACGAACTCGTGATTAGCCAAACCAGCCGCCAAAGATTTCCCAAATTTTCAAATTCGAAAAAGTGCACGAACCTCATGTCTCCAGCAGCCTCTCGCATGAGCAGAGTGCTCTCGTCAAAGGAGCGGCCGCACCTAGAACATCACAAGCCAAGGATGTGAGAACCCACGAATTCACAAAGAGGGCTTTCACAAGCCCGGCGAAATCAAAGCTCCGGGGCGCTCGAAAACTCACTTGCAGCCGCTGCCGCAGGAGCAGTTCGACCCGCAGTTGCAGTTGGCACTTCCGCAGCCAGACATTTTCGAGCGATCGAAGCGAAGAAGAAAAACTGGCGAGAGAGGAAAGAAGCTAAGCTATACACTCAAAAATACTCTAACTTCCCGTGCGTTTTATTGGCTGATCCACCGGCTGTAGCCGGTAGACACGACGCCCTGTACCGTGGAACCCACCGGCTACAGGCAGTCGTTCAACCTTATGGCACGTAAAGTTGCTCCTCACCGCCACGTGCACGTCGCGACGAGGGGTAAAAACCAAGGAGCACGGCACCTCGGGACCACGTGGCAAGCTTCCATTGCTTACAACTCTACGGTGCACGACAAAGTGGCACCAATAATGCCAACAAGTGGAATTTTCTGTGACGGAATCAGTTTTGATGATGCCAAATAAGCGGCCACCTTCTGTTTTGACTCGGATATTCCGTGATATTTTTTGGTTTTCCCAATGTTGACCTTCTTGTACTATAATACTTGTACTCCAGCAAACGTAATAGATGATACCTTCGGCTGAAGCGTCACTCGAAGAGGTAAGCAACACCATCAAGTTAGCTAGCACTAATATCCCGAGATTTCACAATCAACGTCTAGGTTGGCTCGACCGAATCAAACCAACCCAACAAAAATGAAGTCATTCTTATAGCTTTGTCCCCACCAGATCAGTCTTATAGATAACACAAACGACCTTGCCTTTTAGGGTTCTTCATGGCGACGGCGCTTCCCCGCTTCTACTGCGACAGCCTGCCCACTTCAAAGGTATAAAAACGGACCCTCTCCTTTGTCTCCGATTCGGTCGATTATAGGATAGAATGTCGCTGCGCTACAGGGCACGGCTGTGGAGATTGACGGGCAAGAGTTTTGGCACATGACAAAGGTCTTGCGGCTTGGACAAGATCAAAGGTTTACTTTGTTTGTTGGTGTCTCCGGAAGAATTTCTTACAACTTTGGACTTACAGGGTCGAGCTGTTTAACGGGCGGGGCGGCATTGTCACCGCGGCTGTCTCGGCTGTTAGAAGGTCCAATGTGGAGCTTGTGGCCGTGGAGGATCTTTGCACGCTTCCACCACCAGTCGACAGCGAGAATTGGCATCTAGTGGCTGCTTTCGGTATGCTACCAAATCCCAAAACATTGTAGCCATCTAGCCGGCGATTTCATGAATCCTTGCTTTTTTCTTTCCAGCCGATTTGAAAGGTGGACGAGCCGACTGGATGGTCGAGAAATGCACGGTGTGGCTTGGAAGAAAATTAAACTACTAGCTTGTGTTCTTATAGTGTCTTTTTCGCTTTGGTCCCAGGAGCTAGGAGCGAGAACCTTGACTCCACTCGCAACCGAGAGGTCCACCGGAGTTTGTAGCAACAGGAGCACTAGATGGAAACGGGTTGTCCTCGCTGCTACCAAGCAATGTTGGTCACTTTTGTAAGATTGTAGCCTTATTCTTTTCTTTCTAAATTGATGTTTCCTGCTTTGCAGGTCAAAGGCTACACTCTATGGAGCTGCGACAGTCTCTTAACATCAGCTCACTCAAATCACAGGTGCTAAAAAATAATGAAGACAGTGCTAAGAAACTAGCTATGACTGAATCCGCAACTTGAAGGTTTCTGGATCATCCCACGTTTCTTTGCTAGCCACAGCAGGCGCAACGGAAATTGTGGAAGTTTTCAACGATTCAAGCAAAGATATCAGAGGAGGAACTCTCATTGTTGGACCAGAAGGAGGTAAAAGCTTGTCCAAATTTCCTCGGAAGCTTTTGATGATTTTTTCTTCCAACTTTTTTGTTCTTTTGATAGATTTCACAGATGAAGAAAAGTATGATCTTGTAGCAGCCGGTGCCATGCCTGTTGGTCTGGGCCCTCGGAGGCTACGAGTCGAGACCGCGGCCATCGCCATGCTTGCAACAGTGATGTTGGTGTCCGAGGCAAAAGCTACAAGAAGAAAAGCAAAAGCCCTGTGAGAATCTAGTGCAAAGTTGCTCTCTTTTTTCATCTAGGGCTTTGATTGATGCTACCATGGCCAAGCTTGGACTTCGCTCCATCTTCATGCTCATGGCGATAATCCTCCTGGCAGTGGGTCTGTACCAGAGGCTTTGGGTCGTGCAAATGGACCTCAACCACGAGCGCCACAACAGGTATCTGTCTGATCGATTGCTACATTCTTCCTCTTTTCTCTTTTGCCTGGATCCAGACAGATCTACCAAAAGCTTTACAATGAAGCGCTAGACGAGGTCGCCGAGTGGAGGAAGAAGCTCGACGTGGAGCTCGAGAGTAGCGAGAAACACCAGCAAAGGTTGCAACAAGTTAAGCTCTCTCTTTCTCTCCATGCCTCGATAAGAGGTTTCTTAACCAGCGCGATTCCATCCAGATGACTGACTTGATGCGCGAGAGGGAGCGCACGATTCAGCTGCTTCTCCAGGAAAAGCTCAAGCTCGATCAGGTATGCAAGTCTATTTCCTCGCTCCAAGTTGCTAATTGTTGTCTCGTCTCCAGGAGATCAAACGCCTAAACAAGAGCCAGGAGCTTCCAGTCAAACAAAGTCAAATGTAGTCAACCATTTTCAAAGAATCGTAACTAGAGGTCTTCTTGGTCGCTAGGGCTTTCTCCTCGGGCCCCAGCTATGGTGATCGCCTGCGGCGGAATAATGCCGGCGCGCTCACGGCGAGATCATCGCGAGCGGCCTCGCGGCGCACGCGAATCTCCGTGAGAGGAGTTTGCTCTCGTGGAGAGTCATGTTCTCGGCATTCGCCCACAGCGGGCATTTGCGAGAGGCATTGCAGCTCTTCTACAAACTCGGATCTTCTCACTTTCACCATGGCATTCGGTGCGTGCTCGCGCGTTGGAAGCTTCTTAGAGGCCCGGGATTTGTACGCGAGATTTGCCAGTGGCATCTGCGCGCTCGCAACGCTTTGATTTACATGTTTGCGGAGTGCGGGAGCCTGGACAAGGCCCGGGGCGTTTTCGATGGGATGGATCGGGACTCTGTGAGCTGGAACACCATCTTCACGGCCTATGGAAACGATGAGGTACTTCGCCTTCTTCGAGAATTTGACTTGAGTGGATTTGTAGCAGACTCCGGTCACCTATCTCGCGATCATCAAAGGCTGCTCCAGCTTGAAACGAGGCAAGGAGATCCATGCTCTGTGATTTAACTCCGGGAGCTTGCGAGATGGCAGAGAGATGTTCGACTCTCTCGTCGCTTTCAATGCCATGATCGGAGCTTACGCCCAAGCTGCGAGCGGTGGCTCGCAGGCCGTTTCTCTCTTTGAAAAGCTGGATCTGGAGGGCTTCTCCCCTAGCCGGTCGAGAAGTTCACGCGCGGGTGATTTCTAGCGGCGTGCGGCGGAACTATATCCTGGACAACGCGCTCCTCAGGTGCGGCAGCCTCCACGACGCGAAGAAGGTACGCTGCTTACGTAATGGTGGCTGCTTACGCTCTCCATGGCCGCCACCGCGAGGCCATCTCGGTGTTCTACACCATGGACGTGGAGCCGAACTCGGTGACTTTCACCAACGCCATTGCTGCTTAGCTCGATGCTGGAGAACTCGGAAGCTCCACTCACGGATACAGTCCCGTCGCATCAAGCTAGCTTGCGGCCGAGAACTTTCTAGTGAAGTTGTACGCAAGCTGCGGAAGCCCGAGAGCTCCTTCGAGCTGATAAGCAGGAAGGACGCATCGTCCTGGAACGCTTTGATGGTGCCTTACATCCAGCAAAATGAGTGCTGCGGCGCCCTTGCTCTCGCGAAGAGACCTCGAAGGCATCAAGCTGGACTCCGTCACCTTCGTTTACTTGATCACGGCCATCGCTGCTGCCGGCAGCTCCGGGTGTACGGCCAGGCGAATCCACTCACGGGTTCTCGAGCGCTCCTGGCAGCCGGAGGCCATGGTGGTGATAGCAACGCCTTGATCAACATGTACGCCGCCAGAGTGTTCGAGGAGATGCCGGTGAAGAACGACACGTCCTGGACGGCGCCCGAGCTCTCGCGCTCTACGATGAATGGAGCTCCACCATGCGATATAACACTTAACGTGGTCCTGCTCGCTTGCAATCACTCGGGTCTCCAGGAAGAAGCGTGGTATCACTTTACTTATACGTCGCGAGACTATGGAGTGGAGCTGAAGAGAGTCCACTACCATTGCATGCTCGATGTCCTTGCGCGGCAGGATCTCTTGGAGGAGGCGTGCCATTTGCTAACAACGATGCCCTGCGAGGGTGGAGTAAGCATGGAGGGTGCTTTCATGACCCATGGCGTCATTTCATATTTCTAGAAATCTTTTATGTTAGTAAAATATGTCATTTTAACATCAATCATCTTACAATCTGGCATAAGTATTTGATCGTAAAGAATAAACTCAAGAATTTAAATGTAATATAAGAGCTTGACATCAGTATATCAAAACCAAGAATTTTACAACACATTATTCACAGCAGTTGGCCTTCTTTTGCATGGAGAACAAAAGAGCTGAAAACACACAATCAGGTTCTTTGATGGAGTTAACCCCCGGTTTCATCATCTATATATTCACTTCAGTATCAACAGACAGCGCCTCATTTACCTCTTTGGTGATACCATGCAAGTTCCTCTTCGGCCTTGACAACCGGGTTCCTGCGTGCGTGTACACGATTAGAATCCATGAAACTTACTTTGAAGCTTCGGCTGCCTTTGCAACTTTCTTGCCAAGTTTGCGCTCCTTCGTTTCTCTGTACAACACTCATCTCCAAACTGCTAATGGTTTTGTCCATCTTCAGGAGGTTCACCTCGATTCAGGACAACTTGTGGTTGTAGTTTCTTGTCTAAAGAACATACCTAGATTAACAAACTCAGAACGAAAAGAAGTTCGCAATATACCTTATCAAGACCACATACAGACCGCGCATAAAACTTCAATCCGTTAGCATTAGAAACAATTCAAATGTTGCTTTACAAGGCAGCAACACTTCCTTCATCTTTGTTTGCAGACCAACCAAGGTTGCTGTAACATGCTTACCTCATCACACTTCTTAGACAAGGAATTGAGGTCTTTTTTCTTTTCCCCCAGTCAATCCGGTATCTTCCTCCTCTGACTCTTCATCTTCATCGTGTAGAATACCAGTTTTTTGCATGGCGGCCTACGCGTAGCACCGCCGAGCTCTCGAGCTCTACCATGGACCACGGTAACTCTTCCTTGTGCTCCTGCTCGCTTGCAACCACTCCGTGTCGTGGTATCACATCACTGCGAGACTACGCCGTGGAGCTGGAGAGAGTCACTACCATTGCATGCTCGACGTCCTTGCGCGACAGGGCCTCTTGGATGACCCATGGCGATCACAAGCTTGGAACTCTGGCCGTCGAGCGCTTAAGCACGAATGTGACAACCACTTTACCTTTTAAAAACTATTTCAAGTTCGGAAATTTGTGCTAGCCAAATCTAATACTTCTGCTCAGGTTTGTCCGGATGCCGGTAGGCTCTCCACCGTAAGGGCCTTTTTCCTCTCTAATTGCACGCACTTGACCCTTTCGCCTGGTCACTGCTTTCCCATGCTTCATCTGAGGAGAGAAGAAAAGAGTTGTAAAACATAAAACACAATTAAGTTCTTCTACCTTGTACTTCTTCCGAGGGTTCTTCGACAGTTTCTTACGATATGGAGTTAGCCCTCGGTTTTTCACCATCTGTATATTATCTTCAGTACACACGGACAAACAGACAGCACGTCATTTACCTCTTCGGTGATAAGCCGTTTACCGGTGTAAGTTTCCTCTTCCGCCTTGACAACCGGGTTCCTGCGCGTGCACGAATTAGAATCCATGAATCTAACCCCAAACTTACTTTGAAACTTCGGCTGCCTTTGCGGCTTTCTTGGCAAGTTTGCGCTCCTTCGTTTCTTTATAGAACTCATCTTCGAACTGCTTATGGTCTTCCTCATTTTGTCCATCTTCAGGAGGTTCACTTCGATTCAAGATGTGCTGTTCTCGCTTTCGCCTCCTTTCCCCAAGATCTTCTTTCACAGGTAAGTCGACATCACCCGAATTTATCTGAAAAAACAAGTAAAAACACAGTAAAGCGTGAAGGTAAGCTTACTTTTGGTTTCTTTTGACGTTTTCCAGCTTCAGCAATGACTTGTAGCATTTTCTTTGGCTGCAAATCGGCATTCGTACCATAATCATCTCCCAAGTCATCGAGCAAGCCCCCGTGCCTGCCAGCATTTTATTTATCCAATACTCCCTTGTATTCTTTGAATCATTTACCGTTTCTTCGACTCCTTTGACTTTGAGTCTGGTATTCGGGCAGGCTCAAGAAGACTGTCCCGTTTGGCCTTCTCTTCCAGCCTTTTCATTTCCCTGAGCATGCTTTTACTTTCCTCTCCGATCAGCTGACCTGACTGCACCCGTATGTTAGCTAGTTCATGCTTTATATCAAAACTAGTTGTCCAAACCTTATCTGAAGCAGAGGTGCTAGTAACTGGGTGCTGCTGCTCCGAAATTGGAATCTCGCCAATAGGAATACTATTTAAGTCCTGCATAGCAATCACAGTTTCCTAGTGAGAACAAAAGAACACAATCCATACCTTCTCAATATGCTTGGGGGCATTTAACAGATCCGGATCTATTGACACGAACCTGTCAACTTGTGGTTGTAGTTTCTTGTCTAAAGAGCGTACCTGCAGGTTGCCAAGATAAAAAAACTCAGAAGGAAATTAAGTTCGCAATATACCTTCTCAAGCAGCATACGTATCTCCACAAGCCTTGCAATGACTGGATGGTCACATACAGATCGACCTTCAGCCTTTAGGAGAAGATAGAAAACGATTGATTGACAGTAGCTTAATAGAACCATGTGCTTGAGCTCCGCGTAAGACTTCAGCTCCTTCGCAACTTTCCCGATTTCAATCTGTTAACAGTGGATTAGAAACAGTTAAAATGTTGCTTTACAACCTTCTTCAGAAGAGGTTGTACTTTCTGCTCTAGTTCATGCAACGCTTCCTTCAATTCTGTTTGCAAACCAACCAACTCTGGGGCGTTGCTGCAACATGTAACCAAAATAAAATTTTCCATTACAACAGTAGATGCTTACCTCATCACTACTCGCAATTTCTCGTCCTTAGACAAGGAATTGAGGTCTTTTCTCACCTTCTCCATCTCAATCGGCACACTGTGTTCAACGCTTTCCTGTACGGTTTAAGCATGTGAAATGGAACAAAAACGAAAAAAAATAAAAATGTAGCTTCACCTCTAATGTGTCAGCTTCTCCGTCCAGGTTTTCTTCAATATCCTGGTCAAAATCCTCCGGGCGAAGACTTTCAGCCAACTTTTTCTGTATTCGTCGGGCTTCTGCTTCCTCCAATGCAGGACCTTCTTCGTCGCTAGATTGGATCTACAAGGAGGCGAGTTTTTACAACATATGATACTGGAGAACCACGAATACTTACTTCGTAGTCAATGTTATCAGCTGCATAATAATCCCTTTTTCTTTTCCCCCAGTCAAGTTTCTCTTTGTCGGCATCTTCCTCCTCTGACTCTTCATCGTCTTCATCGTGTAGAATGCCGGTCCTTTGCCTCAGGAACTTCGCTTGCCTCTCAACTACAAACATAAAAAGGTCTCAGTGAGAAGAAAGGAGAAAAAACCTTGGCAACAAGCATTACTTTTTGCAGCCATGTCGTCGATCTCCTCTTCTGGAAGATCTTCATCGCTTTCCTCCTGCACAAAGATAAAAATTCATGTCACGAACGCAATACATCATACTTACTTCGTCCCCATCGTCTTCGCTTTCATTTTCTTCTAGATCCAAGACCGGATTCTCCAACTCTTCCTCCTCCGAGTCTGTTAGTAAAAGCTCAGACAAACTACGTCTGTAACAAGAACGACTCACCTGTTTCCTCCAGTGGTATTTTATCCCGATTGCTGTGAACTGAGGAGAAAAACTATGAAGGAAGAGAAAGGAAAGAAATGGAAAGCATACACTTATCAATCTCATCGTCCATGCTCTCGTCGGAAGCATCTCGCACAACATTTTTTGGCTTAGTTTTCTCCTTGATCAAAGCCTTCGACCTAGATTTCTTCAATCTTCCCATCTCGGCCGCGTTTCCGCTGGGCGCTGCTCGCGATTCTAGAACTCCTTGCATCAGCGGCTCCTAAACACCTCACATTTCTCACCTGCGATCGCGTAGCGCCTGCGCGTACCACACGCAAAAACCCTAAACCCCGCCTTAAGTAATGATAAATCAAGCAAGCAGTGATCACTGATAGTCAGCAACACACAAACAAGCATGGAAGACAAAAAGGAGAAAGATCGCGCTTTCGTGCTTCCAGCGGACACAACACACAGAAACATGCGAGTCGGATTGAAGTGCTGGATTGCTGGCCAGCATCCGAGCACAAACAAAGATTTTTTGCTCCTCCGCAACAACACATTGTCTCAGTGTTCTTCTCTTTGCAGGTCTTTGCTTGCGGTACAAGGAACCGGCTTGAAGAGGAGGTTTTGTCTTGTTGGAGAGGAAAAGTACACACAACTAAACCACGTCCAGAGCAAAGCTCTCCAACCCAGCGCGCAGCGAATTCCACCAAAGTTGCCGAACGACAGCAAAGGAGGATAAGGACACCCCCTCTTTTAAGTGTCGGACACACCAATTGCCACTCATTGGAATCAAGCCGCCATGCTTTTCAGCAGCGCCACGAAAACGACCATCCACTTAATCTCATCTCGCCACTTTTGTGGCATTTGATCTCAGTGCTAGTTCTATACATTGACATAAATTTCTTTTCCTGGAGGGAAGCTCTTTCATCCCAACAGCAGCAAAGGCGGGCGAGAAAGAGGAGGTAAGTCCATTCCTTTCCACTTCACTCGCCACTCCACTCCATTCCCACGCCACTCCATCCCGGACGGCGACTTGCGACTAACTTCTTGTTATAAATTCTATCTTGTTGTCTTGCTGTGGTACGAGAGAGAAAATATTCCAATGGCAGCAGGGACCTGATCATAGGCAATGATATATGTTGGCTTCATATCATCGTCACCGGTCACTCAATCATGCAATCAATCAATCAATCAATCGGCTGGTCCCCAGTTCGCTTCTCTCTCTCTCTCTCTCTCTCTCTTCCTGCCATCTCACAATACTTGCGTAGAAAAAAAAGTGTGGAAAAATACGTTTCCAACTGGAAGAATGGATGCATTTATCAATCTGCCTGGGGTAACAAGCTTTTTCCTGCGTTTGGCCCCATACACCCTCGTGGTCTCGATGGACTAGGCACGCTACATTCCACCGATCTATCCGTGTCATACCAAAAGCAATTTGCTCTTGCAGGACAGCTTCTCTTTGAATGCCTTCCATGCCAACTATAGCTACACTGACTCAAGCCCGCTCATCATAGATTTTTCTCTCTTTTCTTCTTTTCTTTCGGTGGCAACTACAGGGGCGTGACTTTAATCCCCCGGGAAAGTCAGCCCTTTCAAACCATTCGAAAAGAATATTAAATCTCAATCAAAAATCTCACACAACCACCATGGTCCCCAAGTTTTTCCCAGCTAAGTACTTCCGAGACGAACGAAAATGACCAGCTTCGCTGCCAGATGATTGGCCCGGGATTTGGAATCGAATCCACCGACTCCAAAGAAGACGAACACGAAGAACACAAAGAGACGACGCGTGATAAAAGCCATTTTAACTCCATCTTCGAAATGAATGCCACAAACACAAAACATACACTCACGAAACGAAAAAGAAAAAAAGGAAGAAAGCAACAAAGAAACGAAGAAGGTCGCTTCTCCATAACTCCAGCTTGGATTTTCCAGCATTTCTTCTCACTAGTGTACAGTCGAGCAACCTTATATGATTGGTGTAACGTTGCAATATAGGCATGGCCTAAAGGCAATGTTAGATATGGCCGTGGGTCCGAGAAACGGTACGTTGCTCCCCACGCGAATCATCCTCCGCGCCCAAGCCTGGATATGGATTGAAATGGATGGGCAAGCAGTGATCCAACTTCCACTTTTCCTTTTGCTCTTCAAGAACGAAGCCAAGCGGCTGAAACGCTATTCGTGATGGGCACGGATACGGTAGTTTTCACGTTTTGCGGCTCGATCTTCTTCTTAAGCTAACAAAGAGAAGGCCAACCGGAAAAAAGTGGAACTGATAGAATCTAGAGACGACACACACACGTTCAGAAAGAAGGATCAACTTGTTCCATAAAGTATAAAGCAAAGGTGGCAGGGCAACGCAAGATTGCATGAATCTTTTCTCCTTTGCAAGGGTAAGTGGTACCGCCACCTTTTCCTTTAACGAATATACTAAGAGTTTTCCTGTATTTGTGTATGTGTGAGTTTGTGGGGGTGCTGCTGCTCCTGCTGCGACCAGATCCTGATTTGATAATATATCCCAGATTCCACCACCACCTTGGAACCATGCAAAAGGCACCCCACGAAAAAAGCAAACTTGCAGAATCTTCCAATCAACCCAACTCAGATGTCCCTCTGCTGCAAAATGCGAAAAAAGCAAAAGAAGCTGCCAGCCAAGAGGGGTGGCAACTTCTGCAAGAATCAAAAAAACCGCAAGCCATTGCAACACAAGGTGACAAAAGGGCACAAACTCGTACCTTGGGTGTCAACTTGTCCAATTGTTGCTGCCTGCCCCTTGGCATTCCGAGAGCCAAAATCATGAGATCATCGTCACACTATACATGATCATCTTGCAAAATTTTCCATCAAGCGTGTTTTCTTATGAGCTAATTTCCGTGTATCAAAGGTTTGTACACCACCTATACCAGAAAAGAGCACTTCACAAGTAACGAAGAAGAACTGGTCTGGCGAGGAATGATTTGGGAGCAGCAAGAAATCATGCTGGTATGTGTAGAATCGCCTCATTTCACTAGTATTCATTGTTTACATTTTTTTTATTCTGCTTCTGCTGCTGCTGCTCCAGCAGTAAATCAGTTCTTTGCAGAAGCAACGATCGAACATCTCCCATCTTAACGCAACCATAAAGAGAAACGAGAAAATATCACGTCGTTTTTCTCGTTTGCCGTGTGCGTTTTGTATTTCTCTGTGTGTTGTGTTGTGTTGTCAACTTTCTCATGATCAAATGTCTTTTCCCCGCGAGAGGAAGAAACAGGAGAGAAATATCTGATCACGTATAAATGATGCGGAGAAGTTAAGAGCTTCCGGATCAAAAAACGGGGAGCGTGATCGGAATCAATGGCTCAATCTCATCATCTCGCACACATTCCCTTCACTGGAGAGGTTGCTTTCGCAGCAGATTGCCCCCAATCCATTCCCGAGCACACCAAGAAGGACCATTTAATCAACAAATCGACCCATTCCAATCAAATATCTCGCACTCGCAAAGGTAGAGCTACCAGATATTTATGCTTCATTCTCTCTGAAATAATAACCAGAAAAATGAAAGAGAATTTTTTTTTTCTCTCTCGCGAGAAAGAGCTACCGAGCTCTGGACGCCCGCCAGAGCAAATTGCTAGCTATGCGCGCTGCGCCTGTTTGTCAAACCGTATGGAAAGCGATAACGGCGAAAGATCAAGCAATTACGCCGCGGCATCTTCCTTTCAACATCAGAAAACACTCTCCCCAGCAGCAGCAAAACATGTTGAGTACGAGCGAGCGAGAGAGAGCACTGCTGGCTACTACTACCAACTTTTACTGCCACCACCTCCACTCTCGCAAGTTTTTATAACTTTTTAACTGCCTTGATTGGTGAGTTCCTTTCATATCTCTTAGAAAATCCTTTTTGATATTCCGCATGGCAAGCTTTGATCTCAAACAAAAGTATGAAGTCTGAACATTATTTTCATCTCTTTTTCTTTAGTTCTATGTACACTAGTGGGAGCATGGTTTATAAACGAAGCCAAAAAAACCTCTTCTTGTTCTTGTTCTTGTTCCAGCAAGTTGCAAGTCAGGATTACACCACCGGGCATCTGCGTGTTCTTGTCAGTCATTCTTTCATTGTCTCTCACCAGTACACAGCTGCCGAAGGTTGGAAGGAGAAAAGAAAAAGAGAAAAAAGAGAGAAAAATTTCCTCCTCCCTCTCCTTCCCAAACTTATCCCAAGTCCGCTTCAATCCAAATCCTTCTGGAAGTTCTGATGGACGGAGCCACAACCAGTAGTACTTCGGTGCTGTGCACTAGAACTTTGCCTTCCCGTGTCCGCACTGTGCGTCGTTTGATCGGCATTGGGTGTTTCTTGTTGTGTTCCCTGTACTACTCCGGGAGCTTGGGCACTTAAATACTACGAATTCCATCACCTGGGTGTTGTGGCCTCCTCTCTTGCCAACTTGGCGTAAAAAACGACTTGAAAGGACGAATAAACTCGTACTCTGGCGTCGACCGAATGGATCACTCGTTCGTTATTGCTGCTGCTGTTGCTTGGCCCTGTTGCTGGAAACAAGCTTGCGTACCAGGCTATATTCCTTGCTTATATCCTCTGCGATCATCTGTGCGTCTTTGGAGCCTCCAAAGATCCCCTTCCTGGACAGTCCAGCAACGTAGAGTCCCCGCTCTCCTTTCCACCCGCACCGCGGGAATCCATCGGCACTGAACGAGTTGCCTACTTCTCCCTGGAATAAGAGAGAAAAACGCCACGGGTCAGTCGCTGTGACAAGAAAATCTAAGTGAAATGGCGATGCGACGATCAAGCACTCAAGCCGAGCTTTTAAAACAGCAAGCTAGGCAGCTAGATGGCAACCTTAAACTTCGCAACTTGCAAGCTGTACCACACAAAATGGAAAAAGAGGGCCAGGCAAAAAAGCTAGGAACAAAACCAAGAGAAAAAGAAAGAAACTCAACAACAACATACCAAAAAATACAACGCATTCCTCATTTCATGGGCAAACTTATCTGCAATCTGAGCTTCATACTACATGCGCACATCAACATCCCAACAACACTTCAACTCCAACACTGATGCTACAACCACCATTCCCATGAACAGCTCTGGACCATATTCACTCGCCATGCTGTGAATTCCCTCTCACAATTTCACCATTTCTTTTCTCTCTTTTTGTGAAATCTTTCCCCCCTCCAGATGATAATTCAAAGTCAACCAAGCAACCCCAGCAAAGCAGCGAGCTCACCAAGCAAGCCCAGCAAAAAACCAGGAGATGCAAAGAACAATCCAGTGGAGCAAGCGAAGATGGAGGAATGGAGAAGCATTGCGTGGGAAGAGTTTCCAAAGGATTTTAAAAGTACCTTGAGCCACTGAGGAACGTTGCTCTTGTAGCCGGTCGCAAAGATGATAGCGTCGTAATCGCCTTGTTGGCCATCAGAGAACCTCGCGGAGCACGACGATAGCGATTCCAAGCTCGGCCTCACCTGGATTGACAAGCATCCAAAGAAAAATGTTAGAATCGAATCGACCATGAAAGAAAAAAGAAAAATGCCTTCTTTAAGAAGGACTACTGCATGTACCTTGATTTTTCCAGCTTTGATCTTGGACAAGGTTCCAACGTCGAGCACCGGAGTTCTTCCCGTCTTGGCCTTCATCTCCATGGGACCGACGTCGGGCCGCCGGATGCCATGCCGCGCGGTGCTGCCCAGCGCCGCAATTGCGTACGACACGAGGAGGCGGTCTGCCAGCCACACAGGCAAATGCTTGAGCAGCTTCATGGCCACCGAGTACGTCGAGAATCCAAGCATCTCCCTGGGAAGGATGTGCACCTGGAAGAACAAAAAGAGAACTTTCGATGAGACAACCATCCATGACGATCGGGAAAGAAGAAAGAAGAAGAAGAGGAAGGAATTTGATCTAGAGCTTTCAGAGAAGAGAGAACTCACCGGACTTCTCACGACAATTGCTGGCTTGGCATTGTGCTGGACCAAGTCGAGCGCAATCTCCATGCCGGAATTCCCCGAGCCGACGACGAGGACGCTCTTGCCCGCGTAGTCGCAGCCATTCTTAAACTCCGATGAGTGCTTGACGGATCCCCGAAAGGAAGCAAGGCCGGGGAGGTCCCATGGCAGTAGCGGCTCCGCGTTCTCGCCCGACGCCACCACCAGCCATCGCCCAACGTACTCGCGCGCCTGGCGCTCGCGATCGCCCTCGCCCGACTCCCTGATGGTGCGCACCCGCCACAGCCCCAATCGCGGATCGAACACGGCCGACTGCACGCACTCGTGGAATCGGGCCCGGATCTGGAAGTGAGCCGCGTAATTCTCGAGGTAGTCCACGAACTGGGTGCGCGTGGGATAGATTGGGAAGCTGTCCGGGAAGGGCGACATCGGGAGCTCGCAGAACTGCTTGGGGATGTGGAGGCGGAGGCGATCGTAGGTGCGGTTCTGCCACAGGGATCCAATGCAACTGTTCTTCTCCAGGATCACGGAGGAGCCGATCCCCGCGGCGCTCAGGCACGCCGCGGTCGCCAGCCCCGATGGCCCGGCTCCCACGATGATGGCGCCGTCCACCCACATCCATGGACTGGGCGGTGGCGGAGGCGACGGAGAGGCATCCATCGCCGCCGCCGCCGCTGCTTGTGGTGGCGGTGGCAGAGGCGGTGGTGGTGGTGGCGATGCCGTCTCCATGACGATCTTGCTCTTGGTTGCTCGCAGGAGATTCTTGAGACTGATCTGGTCGCAGAGCTCCTTCCCCCACTGCTCGCTGTGCGGGGAAATGTGGGGTGGCATCTCTGTGCTGCAGCTACTACCACACGAGCAGCAGCCTCTCGGCGCCGGCGGTGATGATTCTTCCAGCGGGAAGTAAAAACGCGCGGGCGCGGGAGGATCTCTCTTCTTCTTCCCTCGAATTTGCAATCTTAAAGAGGAACTGCGCTATCTCTCACTAACACAGGTTGGTGGTGGCGGAGCTCTCGCTTGTTACTATCAACTGTTCTAGCAAAGGGGAGCGCGCCGGAGAACTTATAAGTAGCAAGCTCGAGTAGATCTCGTTCTCTTCGCTCTTTCTCTTCCGGGAGTCTCTACTCCTCTACTATAGCAGTACACTACTAGACCCGGAGGTGATGGCGGTGTCTAGAGATTCGAGCTGAGCTTTCCGCCCTTGATTCTGAGTGGGATTCTGATTGATTCCTGACCGATGCGTGTGTCACTTCCAACACTGATCAGGCTGCAGCATTGCCCAACATACCTCCCACACTACCTCAGACCAAAGCGAACCTGCCAGCGGCAATCTTTGCTATAGAAGCGCGATTGCTAGCTTTTAGAATACGAATAGCAGGGAGTGAAACAAACACCAAACGGGAAAGAAGTAGCCTCTCTCTTTCCTTTCACTGAAGAACTACGCACACACCCAATTCGTGGGGTGGATCCTTTTCTTCCTCAAATCAAACCGAGAAAGCAAGGCCGCCGGTCGAGCGCTGGAGTTCTAGGCAAACAAGACGCACAGAAAAGGGGCGGCTTGTAGCTAGTGGTAATATGGGAGACAAAGGACGATATCCAGCAAGGGCATTGCTCCGACACGCCGACCATATATATATATAAACAATTTTTAAAATCGCTACACTACCACCAACGCTTGTTGTAGTAAACAAATTGCGTTGTGTGGGATTTGTTTATTTGCATGATGCGATCCACACACAAACAACGAGAGGGATTCCAATTCGATTTTGCCTGCTTCTCATGATTTTTTCCTTAGTTTTTTTTCCTTTCCCTTTCCCTTTTTGTTTTTGTGTTTGTTCGGTGGAATATTCCTGACAGCTGGCCGGGATTAGGGCAAGATGAAGGGCTTAGGGTAGTGATGTGCATTTGGCAACACCAACCTCTGCCCCTGACAAGCAACAACAGCTTGAAGTTGAGAGAGAACGAAACACGAATTAGGGTTATAATGGCACTCGAAAACAACTGACTGACCTCTCATGACGCACACATGAGAGAATCAATGACGACGATGATGATGAGCGTGATGATGGTGATGATGCACACACACAACTTGGAGGAGACCTAATAACAACGAAAGTTGGCGCGAGCCGAGGGAGAGAGGGGATTTAACCGGCCAGCTCGCAGACGATTCATGCAGGACAATTGGCGGATGGAACGAAATTCTATTTCATTCATTCCCGGATGAATGATCCCATCCGCCCGCCCCCTCCCTCATTCCGCGAAATCTAATAGATCCTTTAACAACGGACGCCACAAATGTGTGGACAACCAACGCATTCAAACAAATGGGCCTTTTCATTCCCATGCCGCTGTGCTGCGCTGCCCTAAATCACGATTGCACTTAACATTCTCGCACACTTTCGGGATTTGCCGAAATGTCAACAATCTGGTTTAAGATGATGAAAGTAGTCATGTACACCTAGCCGCCGGGCATTAGTGTTGCGGAGGGGGAGGCATTGAATGCACAATCATATGGCCACATTGACATGCTCTTTGGCCGCATAATAATTATTTCATTAGCGAGAGGGAACGACGAAAGAGCCGCAGCCAACCAGCCGCCAACCCGCCGCTTACGGGTGGCCATTTATGGCCCAAACACCTGCGTTTTGTGTGTATGTGACAGCAAATTTGCCCAGCCTGGGCATTTTGCACGCTTGTTGCTTGGATGCTTGGACATTCGTTGCGATGGATCGAGCCTTACAAATGACGGACGTATTCTCTCCATTCTTTTAAACCTGTAAAGGCGACGGCGGGCTTTCGCGTGCATGCAAATGTAGTGAATCTGGGCCGCCCTCTCGCGCCTCGTCTGGCCCAAATCTTGGGCCTCATCATGAGATCGTCTTGGGGATCTCGACTAGTATAAACTACAACCGGAAACCACTTCGCCATTAAACTCACAGGGACGGGCGGTAGAGTACGCCGCCGCGTGTGGCCGTGAATTGGGGGCATTCCGTACTGGCGGACGGACGGCCGTTATGTCGTCACGCCAGCCCAGTCTCCCCAATCAAAAAACTCTAAAAAATGGGGCACGGACAGAGCTCCACAGCACCAGCGCCACCACCCATCTCGTTGCCAACTTTGGCAGCACACAAACAAACCCCAGTGCGTCCGGTTTAAAAATACCATAACAATAGGCCCGCCCAATGTCGCCAACATTCCATACAAGAACCCGTCACCCAAGCCCCGCCCTGTTTTGTTGCGGTGTTTTTGCCCAAATGCCCCTGCGGGAGAAACACTAAGCTCCGCCCGGGGGCCCCGCACGGCATGGCCATCATGCGTCCTCGCTGTCGCAACGCTGCATGCCACATTTTGTCATTGGAGATTGGGAATGGTGGTTGACGGGTATTCAAGCTACACCGCTGCTGCCAGTCCCGCAAGGGATCCATGAATCCCCAGCGGGTTATCCGGCGAAGAGATAGGACGTCAATGCAAATGCCCAAGACCGGCCAAGGCGCCCCAAGATGCCCAGGCGCGGCATTTTGCATCTCGTGTGTCAACACTTACTGGCCTGCGCGTCAACTTCGCGCTACCCTACACGGACGGTGACGCCCCGCGGCCGGCAACTACCATCCAACCATGCCCATAGCCATGCCTGTGGCTGGGACCCATGTCTACTCGAGAATTAGGGATATGGGCCATCTTCCATGGTGGAGACTTTCTGGTACGGAAGGGAATCAGGGAACGTGTCTGGAAGCGAGCCTTGTTTTCGTCGCGGGGGGGTGGCCACTGGCCACAATTTCCGATCGCAATAATTGGGCCACTGTACGGGGGCCCTTCTTCCTACGTGTTATGCGATAGATGGATAGATAGCCCCGCAAAGTCAACCGTGGGAGGAGGTATGAGACGAGTGGCCTTGTTCTAGGCCGATGATTTGCGATGATTACAAGCGGGAATGTTAGGATTCCATGGCTTGTGCGTGCATGCATGCATTTCTTACTTACGGGCTTGGCTTAGGGGACACCGTTGCGCCTTAATAACGCTTTTGTAGCTAGCAGCAAATCATCACCTGTTATATTACTTACACGCAATTTGCCTGGAGGGTTGACTCCGTGGCTTGGATAGCGAAATCTCTGCTTGCGAGAAATAAAAATTCAAAAAAAATTCCAATAATAGGGGAGGTTTCACGTGACTTTGAGATACATTGTAGATCAGAAAATGGCGTGCATACATGATATCGTTTCGCTGGATTCGATCCTTTCGTGTGTGTAGGGGTGCAACTTGGAGGGAAGGGCTTGCTCGCCTTATCACTCTCACGGGACGGGGAGCCCATCCGCTAGGCCATCTGTTGCGACGCAGCCGTTGGATTCGCTCCTTGTATACAGTCAATGATACGGATAGGTGGCGGAGAATGACAAACCAAAGGTTGGCTGGCTGGTCATTTAATCGATTCGAGAGCGACGAGGGCGCTTTTTCGATCATGGAATAGAAAACTCGGCCTCGCCCGCGCGCTTGATCCTCGTCTGGAGATCTCGTCTTGCTTTATTTTCTTTTCCCGATCGTACACTGCCCACGAGCTTACCGGCCAAGGGGCGGCCGCCACGTGGACCTTAGGGTTCCAGCGCAAGTCTGTTTTGGCGCCTTGTAGACAATGATTTGAATGGGAGCAGGGTCTACCTAGGAGAAAACTCACACACACCCAGAGCCCATCATTCATCACTCCAAAAATCATCCTGTTTTTGTTTGATGGTGGTCTTTTTGAAAACAACTCCATCCTCGTTTTAGCTGGTGTGTGTGTGTGTGTGTGTGTGAGAGAGAGAGAGAGAGAGAGAAGAAAAATGTGAAAAGAAAAGAGAGTTTTTCCATGTCCCTGCTGCTTCTGCTGCTGCTACTGGTGCTGCTACTCCTGCGATACGAAAGAGAGAGGAAGTAAGTCCCTTCATTTACCAATCTTGTCGTCACGACCTTATACCTTTGTACCTCGCGAAAGCAGCACCTCAACAACAACGAAGCAAATGAGCAGCGAATTCGGTTAAGTGTCACCTGGATTTTGGGTGGAGGGAAGCAGCAGGAGCAGCAGCAGCAGCAGCAGCGAGGTACCGAGCAGTGGCCACTCTGGAGCTCATGATTGAGAAAAACTGCTGAGGCGAGATGACGTTTAAGCTCTCTAACCGGTGCAGTCCTGGTGACGAAAGGAAAAAGGGAAAACCATAACGGAGGTACTCGAGAGAAAGAGAAAGCAGCGAACCTTTGAGAGAAAACAACCGGCGAACCCCCGGCTTTGGGAGCACTGTCACTGCTGAGCGCATTGCACTCGGTGTCCTGCAGATGGATCATCATCGTCGTCGTAAGCCTCGCGCTGTTGCTGATGCTTGCTCTTCATCTCTTCATCAATGTTCACGTCGTGGAGAGTTGCTTCCTCGCACTCGTCCAGCTCCACTTGCGTCAGCTGGAGTGCAGGCCTCGGCGGTAGGACCGATTCCAGCGTTTTCAACATGTCCGGGTTGAGGGCTCGCGGTTCCGGAAAATCAACGCTGAACTGAATGTACAATCTTCCCTTGACAAACGGACGTTGATGCTGCGGCATCCCTTCGTCATTTACTGCCTTGAACTGCCCTGCCGCAGTCGAAATGACTAGTCAGTTGAAGAAACTTAACGTTCAAGAAAAAAATAAGCAAAAAAAATGGTGGAAGTTACTACCAGGCTTGATGATTTCTCCCGCTGCAGATTTTATAAGCAGCTGCCTGCCATCAAGTTGCGTGAGTACAAACTGGAAGCCGCACAAGGCTTCAACCAGCGTGAGTTTGTGCTCCGTGAAGAGATCGTCGCCTTTTCTCTTGAATTTGGAGTGCTCCTTCTCTTGCAGGATGAATATGACATCGCCGGTGATCGCATCTGGCTGCAAAGAACTTCTCCTTTTATCAATACCAAAACTGGAAATAAACGAATTAAAAAGATAAAAAGAAAAAATGACTAGCAAAGACTTACATATTCATCTGCTTCTCCCGGAAAAGTTATCTTCTGGCCATGTTGCATCCCCTTCTCAACGTGAACCTCGAGCATTTTCTTGTCGTGGACAACTTTGCTTCCTTTGCATTCCGAGCATTTATCCTTCTCCTTAATTACCTCGCCTGTTTAGGAAGAAGAAAAAGAAAACAATATCAAGCATGATCTCCAGGATCTCAACTGGGACAGACCTGCGCCACTACAGTCGCTACACATGTGTTGCATCTGTTGTATCATGCCTGGTCCCAACTGGCGGATGGTAACCTTCGTTCCGGAACCTTGGCAACTTGCGCAACGGCTGCTCAGGCCAGATTTGGATCCCTTCCTGTTGACAAATTTTGAAGTTTCTGAGATGAGAGGAGAGGAAAAAGAAAAAAGAAATTTTTTTTTTCTCAAACTCACGATACGTTTGAATGATTCAACAAGGAACTCACCCCTTGCAGCTTGAGCAGATAACGCTTCTCATCAAAATCAGCTTTTTGGAGGTTCCGGTGTAAACTTCTTCCAGCGAAACCTGTAAGGGATGGATCACATCCTCTCCTCTTCTATGCCTCCGGCCTCTGCTACTTCCTACGCGCAAAGGCATAAAAAACATAAGTATACCAGGTGGAACAATTACCTCCAACAAAAGGATTTCCAGAAAAGAAGGACTCGAAAATGTCGAAAGGATTGCTGCGCGAGGAGCAACCAGGCATTCCTTGCTTGAGACCACCCTCCCCATGCTCGTCGTAAATCTCCCGTTTCTCCGGATCACTCAGCACTTCATAAGCTTGCGCTAATTCTTTAAACTGCAAGGAGCGGGAAATGGAATGAAGCAAGAGAAGAAGAAAAAAAGATGAACATAAAGAGAAAGGGAATGCTACCTTCTCGACATCGCCTCCCTTGTCCGGATGATTCAAGATCGCTGCTCTCTTATAAGCTTTCTTAAGATCATCGGGGGAGGCATTCTTGGAGACTCCAAGAATCTCGTAGTAGCGCGTGCTGCTGTCGCTCGACATGGCGGACCGGATCAATTACTTACATTTGCGCGATCGATCGCGGGATCGGGCCATCGATCGCAACCCTAGCCCGGGATTCAAAGCAAGAACGCGTGAGTGAGCCCTAAAAATAAGGTCTCCCCTTATGGCGCTCGCGCTTGGCCACGCTGCCTTCGTCGACGAGGATTACGCCCGCGCGCTCGAGCTCTACAATCAGGCAGTGCTCGAGGAGCCTTCCAACGCTGGCGCGCTGGTGAGTAGAGCACAGGTCCATATCAAGCTCGGCCATTTCACAGGTAGGACTGTCCTCTCGCGAGATCCTTTCATGGCTCTAGTTTATCTACAGATGCTATTGCCGATGCAAAGGCGGCTATCGACCTCAACCCGGCCCTGTCCAAGGCGCATCTTCGCCAAGGGTACGTGATTTCTGGGAAGAAAAACTCGATTTTGGTTTTCCAGGATTGCCTGTTTCTCTCTAGGGGAATACGAGACAGCCAGGGCCGCTTTCGAGAAGGCTGCATCGTTGGAAGACGATCCAAAAACCCGAGACTGGATCCACAAGTGCGATGAAAAACTCAAAGGTGACTTATACTTCGTGCTCAAGGATTGGATCGCTGAATGCTCGATGCTTGTAGAGGAGTCTGGCGTTCCACAGGAAGCTGATATGCGTGATAGCGCCACGGATGAAGAAGTTTTCATGACTCCTTCGTTACCTCCTCCCAAATACAGGTTTGGTTTCGAAGAAAATTGTCGTTCTTTTTCCTTGAGTCTTGAAATGCAGGCACGAATGGTATCAGTCTCAAGAAGCTGTCGTCGTTACCGTCTTCGCGAAAGGCATCAAGCAAGAGGACGCGCGTATTGACTTTGGAGAACAGATGGTATATATGCTTTCTTAGGCAGTGGGCTTGACGTCCTGGTCTTGCAGCTCAGCGTAGTAATCAGAGTTCCAAACGAGAACCCGTACGCTTTACAGGTTCGCTTATTCGGGAAGGTAATATGCTTTTCTTCGCTAGGAAACGGATGCTCACGAGTATATTTCTAGGTGAATGTTCCCAAATGCAAATGCAGTATTTTGAGTACTAAAATCGAAATCCGACTCTCCAAAGCTGATGACACGCACTGGAAGGGCTTGTCTTACGAACAAAATCAAGGGCCAGTGCTGAAGAGTAAGCATTTCTGATTGCTTTCGATGGGAAAGAACTTAGTTCACGGTTACAGCTCCGTCGAGAGTGACTGCATATCCGAGCTCCAGCAAGAAAGCTGCCGAAAAAAACTGGGACAAGCTGGAAGCTGAAGTGAAGAAAGAGGTACTTTTCTTTGCACTGTGATCACTATATCGGCTGGAAACTCTTTCAGGAGAAGGACGAGAAACTGGAGGGTGACGCTGCACTTAACAAGCTCTTCCGAGAAATATACGGCAATGCGGACGAGGACACTAGACGGGCCATGAACAAGTCATTTGTAAGTAGAAAAGTGGAAAGCTTTTTCTCGCAGTGATGATGAGCATGTGTGCTTGCGCAGGTTGAATCAAACGGGACCGTTTTATCGACAAACTGGAAAGAGGTTGGCAGCAAGAAAATCGCAGGAAGCGCCCCACAAGGCATGGAGATGAAGAAGTGGGAGGTTTGAAAAGCTTCATAGCCAGGATATTTTACGTATCCGCTTTATAACTTGTGTGTGTTTGGAATTTTAAGCGACGGCGATTTTTTACAAGTGTTGGCCTCTCAATACATGCAATCTCGCTTGCTGACACGCAAGGACACCCAAAAGTCGAGAGACAAAAAGTAGTGTTCTCTCTTGCGAAAAGCACACAAAAGCGAGAGAGAGAGCGAGAGAGAACGAGAGCGAGCGAGAGCGAGAGCGAGAGAGAGAGAGAGAGAGATGGATAACACGGAAGGCTCGGTGCAAAACGTTGGCAATTTCTTCAGGAGGAACAGGAGTAGTGTTCGCACAGCGATGATGTGGACTTTTGGAGCTGGGGGTAAGTTTTAGAGGTAGTTCTTCGTGTTCTTCCGGAGTTTTTGGAACAATGGATGATCCTTGCCGTACAGGTTTGCTGTGGCTGCTCTACACGGTGGAGCCATTCAAGTCCAAAATGGAGCCGTACAACTACCGTGGCTCTGGAGTTCCCACTGTCCCGAAAACCGGTAGCGAGGCCGGGTCGACGGTGGCCCATCCAAAGTCTTGATGTAAAGGCGCTTTAAAATGGAGCTCTAGATAGATGATTAGCAGACCTCTTCTTCTTCTTCCTCGGTCTAGGTCTAGCGATCGCCACGATTCTTTCTTCTTGCTTGCGCGGCGATGCTGCCATTACGCGTCGCGGCTGCGTCGCTGCACGGACTTGGCGCAGGTGGAGGAGCTCCAGGCGGAGCTCCTCCGCCTGGATGGCAGCGATCGCGGCACTTTCGTCGGGAATCACCTCGTCCAGATGTTTGGCAAGCTGGGGCGCCTCGATCAGGCGTGGCAGGCGTTCGCCAGGATCCGGCAGCCCAATGTCTTCTCCTGGAACGCGATTCTTGCCGCGGCTGTGCGGCACGGGGATCTTCAGCGCGCGCGGGGTGTTTTTGACAGGATGCCGGAGAGAGATGTAGTCTCCTGGACCGCTCTCATCGCCGGATCCTCGCAGAGCGGTGATCCGGAGCTTGCTGTAGAGATGTTCTCGAGAATGCAGGCCCAGGGCGTCGTCCCCGATCGCGCGGCCTTTCTCAGCGCACTGGACGCGATCTCTCTCGCGCAGGCGCTCGAGTCTGGGATCTCGGTTCACGGATCCATTGCTCGCCTGGGGCTGGAATCGGATGCCTTGATTGGGAGCGCGCTTATAAACATGTATGGGAAGTGCCAGGACGTGGCCCATGCAAAGGTGGTATTCGATTCGATGGAGCGGCGCAACGTTGTGGCCTGGACAGCGATCGTCGCAGCAAATGCCCAGAATGGGCGTGTTCTTGACGCCAAGTTCTTGTTCGAGAAGATGCCGCAGCAAGACATCGTCTCTTGGAACTCCATGATCTCGGGCATGGGGAAGAACCAGTATAACCGGGAAGCTCTCGATCTCTTCAACGCCATGGAAGCCATAGCCATGCTGCCGGAGAAGAGCACGCTCGTGAGCGCCATCGACGCCTGTGCGAATCTACCATCTCTAGCCGAGGGCCGACGAATCCACTCCAGGATAGACGAGACGACGTTGGAATCCGATAGGGAGATCCAGAACGCGCTCGTCAACATGTACGGGAGGTGTGGCGACTTGGAAACGGCGAGAGCGCTGTTCGATCGAATGCGAGACAAGAATGTGATTTCGTGGACTTCGGTGATCGCGGCGTATGCCCACCACGGGCATAGCCGCGCAGCGCTTGAGCTGTTCTACGAGATGGCCTGCGAGGGGCAAGCCCCCAACGAGATCACGCTCGCCACCCTCCTCTACGCTTGCAACTACACGGGACGGATCAACGATGGTGTCTACTACTTCATGTTCCTCCACCTCGAGTTTGGGATCCCAGCGACGCGGGAGCACTTCGTGTGGCTGATTGACGTGCTTGGGCGATGCGGGCAGCTCGAGAAAGCCGAGGAGCTGCTCAGGAGCATGCCGTTTGAGCCGCAGCCGCTCGCCTGGCGGATGCTCCTGGGAGCTTGTCAATCCCACAAGGATGTCGAGAGAGGTGAGCGGCTGGCTCGCCATCTATTTGCCACAAACTCTGTCCGCTCGTCACCGTACGTGGTGCTCTCCAACATTTTCCTCTCGAGCTCAGCGTCATAGGAGACGGCCAAACTCTGGCGTCTTTCAGGAGCTCAAACGAACCAAACATCCTTTTTGGTGGTGGTAGAAGTTCTTACAACATGTTTACAGGAACGAGTCATCAACGAGAGAGCTTACACCTTTGGGATCCTTCCCTTGCTGCCATTCCTTGTCAGCAGCAGACCGCTGCGGAGATTCCATCCGCCTCCAGTCCCGCAGTATTCCGCTCCTCGACCGATTGAACGTCCTCGTGAGTCAATCTGCATCTTGGCGGCAGGAACGTTAAGCATACAGTTGGCAACAGCATCGAATCCGGAACTCCCAGCACGTCCTTCACCGTAGTGGCCCTGTAGCTTTCTTGACTGTGCTAGTGATCGGCTTGTCTCCAATGTTTTTCGCGGTAACCTACAATGCCTGGGCAGTACATGAGAAACCCGGCTAGAACGAAAGCCAAGAACTTCGAAGAGCGACGACGTCCACTCGCCCGACTTGGAGTGTGACAAGCACAAGAGTCTTACTCAGTATATATTCTAGGCGAGAGTTTGAATTGCATTTGAACCCATGACTCCAAAGGACTTTTACCTCATGCACTGGTTTCTGGCGGAGCAAGCAGTCACGAGCACATCCGCAACTTAGCCATGTTGCGGCACAAGGATTCCGAGAATACTCCTTGGAAAGCATCTCACTAATCATCCAGACCTGGAAGATCGTCTTCGCAATGAAAAGCTCTTGTGGGTGACGGTAGGATGATCCCGTTGATCGGCTCGGTCTCCACTCTAGCAGCATCTTCGGCAGTGGTGCGCCACTCCAGGAGGTCTCCCCGCGCGTTAACGTCTGGCTCGGCCACTTCGGGCTGGTCTCCTCGCGACTGCTGCGCGGCCACGCTCGTTACAGCCCTCCTCGGCAATGAAGAATACAGCGATAGATTTTTGCTGGCCCCTGGAAGGAAAGGACGCACATTGTCTGGGATGAGATCGGGCGATTAGCCAAGAGGGTGAAACCTGGATGCAAAGGAAGCCAGTCGATGGGAGAAGCTGATCGCCATCATATTTTGATTCTTCTTCGGTGTAGAGACGAAATGGAATGTAGCACCTAAGGGTGAAACGTGGAAGGGTAAGATTTTTTCACGTGTGCTTATGATTTTCTAGCGTGAGATGATGGAATCCGAGAGGGCTATAGAGCATTGTTTGATCGAATGTAAAAAGCCATCACAACTATGTCCAGATATGGAAGCGAGTTTTTGCCGGTGCTCCTCTCGTCGCTCTTCATGGCGATCAAAAAGTTTCCCTGGGCTGGTAAGTTCTTACACAGCAAAACTTTGTGATCTAAAGTTCTTACAACATATTTACAAGAACAAGTCATCAACGAGTGAGCTTACACGTTTGGGATCCTTCCCTCGCTACCATACCGCGGCTCAAAGTCCGACGCCGCATTCTTGTCAGCAGCAGACTGCAGCGTTGCGGCGATTCCACCCGGCTCCAGTCCCCCAGTGTTCCGCTTCTCAACAGATTGAACTCGAGATGCGTCCTCGTGAGTTACAACCTTGTCGATCGGCATCTTAGCGGCGGCGTTCTGTTTACACGTAAACATCCGGTGAGCAACAATATCGATGAATCCGGAAGAAAAAAAAGGCTTACATCCAGCACATCCTTCACCGTGGGGATCGCTGTAGTGGATCCTGCAGCGTTCATGTCAGCAGCCGACTGTGCTTCCGCGGCCACCACCCGCTTCACCCCGGTAGCATTGCCAGTTGCACGGCTCTCGGCGCTCTGGATGACTTTTGCATCGGGACGAGTGATCGGCTTGTCTCCAATGTTTTCCGCGGCAACTTCCAATGCCTGAGCAGTAATCGCGAAACAAAAACAGGTATCAGCATTGCCGGCTAGAACGAAAGCCAAGAACTTCGAAGAGCTTCTCACCTCTCCAATGGTGATGGGATGGTCGACGACGTCCACTGTCCCGGTTGCTGGCACTCCCTGCTTAGGAAGCCTCTAGTTAAGTTCCAGTCGAGCTCTTCTTCTCCAAATCCACGGCAAGAGAGGAAATTCAAAGAACTTACCATCGTACTAACATCGATGTCGACGGAATCCATGAAAGCATCCGTGGTGGCTATTTCATCCAGCGTTGGAACCTGCTGCGCGGCATAGAAATCGTCTCCAGAAAAGTCCGCGGCAGGAACTTGCGTTGCGAAGACATCATCTGTGGCACTGGCAGGAGTGGCAGACGCAGCAGCAGAAGCTCTATCGACGGCCGACTGCATTTTGGCGGCGGTGCCTCCCTTGATTGTCTGCCCGAATCGTGCGTTCTCCACGCTGCGCATCATAGCAGCGTCCTCGGCAGTGATGGGCTGCTCGCGGAGGTCGCCCCGCGCGTTAAAGACTTCGCCATACGTTGGCTGCGACGCTCCTCGCGACTGGGGCTGCTGTGCTCGCGCAGCCATGCTCGCCAAGGACCTCCTCGGCATCGCAGAACAGAGCGATGGATTCTTGCTGGCCGTCCTGGACGCACATTGTTTCGGGTGAGATGCGATCGACCAGCCAAGAACAATGGAGGGTGAGCTCGATCAAACCTGGATGCAAAGGAGGCCACTTGATAGGAGAAGTTGATCGCGCCGCGCACCATGACCATTTTGCTCTTCTTGTGCTTTTTCTTTTGTCGAAGAGGATGTAAGGAAGAAACGTAAGGAGGCTGTGTAGTTCTACCGGGGAATATAAACCATGGTATAGCCAGTAGCCCATTTGGCACGTAGCATGGTTGCGTGGTGGCGGCCTAGTGGTGAAACGTGGATGGCAAGATTTTTAAGCCTATGCAACAAACTAGGTTGACCTTTCACGCTAAAGTTTCACCACTGGATCCGTGGCGCAATGGTAGCGCGTCTGACTCCAGATCAGAAGGCTGCGTGTTCGAGTCACGCCGGGTTCATCCGGTTTTCCTTTTTTCTTAAAAAATACCTTTAATAAAGGTATAGCATTTTTCTGAAAAAATGTTCTAGAAGTGGGACGTGAACTGCGATATCATTGCATTGGCCAGGTTGACGTACCCGATAACCTAGGTTCAAAACCATTATTTCTTGTCTATTGTCCTAGTAGTGGAATTTTATCTTGCCTGGTCAGGGATGCTTTTCCCTGTGTGAGATTCGATAATGATCCCAGACGTAAGGCCAAGCATCGCCCAGCCACCATTTATCGCTTCGATCTCGCGTCGTCGCTGTGTTTAACACCAAAATACTTGGAAATGTTTCTTGGCTAAAATTGCGATCACTTGCCTTGAGCTTGGCACGGAATTTAATCCGCTCCATTTCTACTGCTGCCAGTCGCTTGGCTTCCAAGGGATCAAGCATCGTCACAATTCGCGAGTTCCCGGAAGATGGCCTCGCCGGATTGCTCTGCTCAAGAAAGAAAAGAATTCCATGGTTGGAGAAGAAAACTCAAGAAACTGTAGCTTACTCCTGCGTATGAACTGCTTATAACTCTGCTGAATCTCCTCCTCTTGCCACCAGTACCTCCACTGAAAGCTCGAGAATGGCTTGCAAGCTCCAAGTTCTAAACGAGTTCTCTTACCTTGTCGCGAAGGTCGCGGGACCATTTGAGTGAAGCGGCATTCCCGACGAGGCCATTGATCTCGTCTAGGGTTCTTTGTTTGGTTAAACATTTTATCACCTATGAGCGTGTGCGTGGCCAGCACTTGTGGAAGCTCTCCTCGCCACCACAGCAATGCAACGAGGCCGAGAGAAATGGGTTTTGGATGGAGTGGCGATTGGAGCGTCGCGATGCCAAGGAAGCGCTTCCAAGCAACCATTGTGTGCATGGCTACTGTAAGTTTCTTCCTCTTCGTCGCTGGAGTTATCTTTATCGCTTGCATTTCCAGGAGCCCTACATTATTTCCAAGCTCGACTCCGCAGAACAGACATACAAGGAGCTCACGGTAAATCTAAATCTATCAAACCAGCGATTGTAGCCATTTTTCTTCGTTTGTTCTAGGTGAAGCTTGCTGATCCTGATGTCGCGAATGATCCCAGCGAGTTCCAGAAGCTTGCCAAAGCCATTGCGGACATGGAAGAAGTACTTTCAATTCTTCTGTCTCGCAATGGAAACTGACTGACTCTTTAGATTCACAGGTGGTCACGTCCTACCAAAAGTACAAAGAATCACAGCGTGAACTGGATGATCTGCAAGGTAATACTTCGCATTCTACGAGTTTGGTTCTTGCTTGAAGAGATCGCATTCACGTTGACAGAGATGATAAAGTCTTCTGGTGACAAAGAGCTGGCCGAGATGGCGGTCGAAGAATCTGCAATTCTAAAGGAAAACATCACCAATCTTGAAGAATATCTCAAGGTAAGCTCCACAGAAAACAGAAAAAGAAGAACAAGGCAACGAGAAAACAGAAGCTTGTCATGTTTTCCAGGTTTTGCTCTTGCCTAGTGACCCACTAGACTCGAGAAATATAATGCTTGAAGGTGTGGTTCTGTGATCTTGCTCGATCTTTCGTGGACTTACAAAGTTTGTTTTTGTTTCCCAGTTAGAGCTGGAACTGGAGGCGATGAAGCTGGAATCTGGGCTGGTGACCTTGTAGGTAGAGATACGTTTCCAAAGTGCTTGCTTCTACTAGTTCATTTCTTTTGTCCCAGGTACGGATGTATCAGAAGTACGCGGAACAAAACCGATGGAACTGGAGTCCTATTTCCCAGACAGAAGTAAGTTGTGATTCTTTTCAAGCGGTTTTCTTCTCGTCTCATAGACAGTGTTTTTGGATGTTTCAAGGCGGAGAAAGGTGGCTTCAAGGAATATGTGCTCGAGATAACTGGCGATCGTGTCTACAGCAAGCTAAAGTATGAATCTGGCGTCCATCGAGTTCAACGTGTGCCGGCCACGGAATCTCAAGGCCGAGTACACACGTCGACAGCCACTGTTGCTATCATGCCCGAGGTACGTTGTGTTTTTCTTCGTTTTGCTTTTGCATGCTTTTTCTTTGGAAAATCACGATTTTTCCTCTAAAAGGTTGATGAGGTCGAAGTTGTGATCGATCCAAAAGATATTGAACTTACAACTGCGAGGTCCGGTGGTGCCGGAGGTTTGTATAGTTTTTGTTCCTCTTTTTTTTTTCTTTTCTTTGTGTGTGTGAGAGAGAGAGATGAGTCCTGCTTGCAGGCCAGAATGTGAACAAAGTGGAAACGGCCGTGGACCTGTTTCACAAGCCAACGGGCATTCGAATCTTCTGCACGGAAGAGAGGACTCAGCTCAAGAACAAAGCTCGCGCGTTTCAGCTCTTGAGAGCTAAACTGTAAGTAACTTCTTACAAAGTAAGTCTCGCATTTGTGAAGTTTTTTATTGTGCGGGTGAGCAGCTACGAGATGAAACTAGCCGAGCAACAAGAGAAGATCAGCTCTCAACGCAGGTCTCAGGTTAGCAACAGGCAGTTATACTTTTTCTTTCTCTCTCTTTTTTTGTTCCTATCCATTTGTATGATCCTGTACAAGGTTGGAACTGGCGCAAGGTCCGAGAAAATCCGAACATACAATTACAAGGTTGGAGCTATCCTTGCTTGTTTTATAGATTACTCACTATTGCTCCTGCGAACAGGATAATAGAGTCTCGGATCACAGAACCAAGATAAACTTTGACCTCGATTCTTTCTTGAGTGGAAACATTGAGTCGGCCGTACAGGTACCCCAATCCCGCGACGCTTAAAAGCTCTTTCTCAGCCACGTTTCTCAGGCCTGTGCCGCGATGGAACAAAAACAAATGCTCGAAGAGCTCGCGGCTTCTGTTTTGTAGCGCTTGGATAAATCGACCGGGAAACGAGAAAAAAAAAATGTAACTTTGCGCAAAGAATGAAAAAAAAAACGATCTTTTGTTTTCACGCGAGAATGGTCTTGGTTTTGTACTCACGCGTAAACTCTCTTCAGACACCCGACTCTGGAGGGAATGAAAGATGGAAAATCAAAAACAACGCCACCTAGTGCGCGTTGTGCTGTATCACAAATACTTTCGCTCATTGATCGTCCCGACAGCCGCTTGCGGCCGGCAGCAGGGCCTACAAAGAGAGAGATACCGAGATGTCTTTCCAGATCTTGTAAGAACGAGCGCTGGATCGCAGCACAGAAACTTGCGATCTCGAGCGTCTCTAACTTTGTGTTTCTCACTTGCTTGTAGATATCATAGGAGTCTTGGATCAGGAAGATGGTTGTATAGTAGATCTCCTTTTACCTCTACAGTTTGGGCGATGGAGGATTTCGATCATAGCTTTGTTCTTTGGAACAAGCCAGTGTTGGATGAAAACGAGCCGAGCAGTCCTGTCCTGTTCAAGGCAAGTGATCCAGGTGACGTCGAGGAGAAGCCACAGAAGCAACAAGACACGCCGGAAGATCTCTACAAGCTCTACGAGCAGCTCACTGGGCCATTCCAGGAGTTCACTCTCAAGGATTTTGTTAGTGGAATCAAGCAAAACGGCGGCCTCGATTCTCCAGCTTACGACATTGCAGTGCCGACGAAAAGCTCCTCCATATCCCCTAGAAATTCTCTTCACGGGGAACTTTGCAAGGAGTCACCCGCGAGCTCTCCATGGAACCGGCCGAGGTCACCCATGCTTCCAGCGAACAAACGAGTGAGGCCAACTCCATCTTGCGACGCATCGTTTTACCAGTCGCCCAAGAGAAGCGGAGCTCCAATTCCTGTGGAGCACGGCACAGATTGTCACATTTGCAATACGAAAGCCATGATCGTCAAGACCAGATGCCTGGTAACAATGCGCATTGAATCTCTTTCCATTTTGCTTGAGCTTTAGTTTGAGCTCCTCCTCCAGGTGTGTGGCAAAGTTTACTGCCGGAAGTGCGTCAAGGAAGGCATGGGCAGCATGTTGGAAGGAAGGAAATGCCGATCTTGTCTTGGCCATCGTTTCAATCCAAGGTTTCTAATCAGACCTTTCTTCTTTCTTGTTTTGTAACTGTTCTCTTTGATTTCTCAGGTACATTGATCGAGCTGGAAAGGGATGGTGGATCTCAAATCGAGTGAAGCAAGTGGAGATGAGATGGGCGGCCAAGAGGTCAAGAGCAGAGTTCCAGAGTTTACAATTCTAGCATTTTAGGGCTTTCTTTTACTTCTTGTAAAGGTTTGTAAGAAATGAAACTCATTAGCCCTAACTTTATAAGGACAAGAGGAAAGGGGGAAGGTTTTCTAGGGTTCCTGGGGCTCTAGGGCAGAGGCAGTCGCGAATCGCGATGGGGAAGCACGAATTCATGACGCCCAAGGCGATCGCCAACCGGATCAAGGCTAAGGGCCTCCAGAAGCTGCGCTGGTATTGTCAGATGTGCGAGAAGCAGTGCCGCGACGAGAACGGCTTCAAGTGCCACTGCCTGAGCGAGAGCCACCAGCGGCAGATGCAGATCTTCGGCATGAGCCCCGGTAAATTCGTAGGCCAGTTCTCGCACGATTTCGAGTCGGCATTCATGGAGCACATGAAGCGCAACCATCGCTCCAGCCGCGTCGCCGCCAACGTCGTCTACAATGCCTACATCCAGGACAGGACCCACGTCCACATGAACTCCTCGCGCTGGGCGACGCTCACCGATTTCGTCAAGTACCTCGGCCGGACCGGCAAGTGCAAGGTGGAGGACACTCCCAAGGGCTGGTTCCTGACTTACATCGATCGCGAGCCCGAGACGCTCCTCCGGGAGGGGCAGAAGCAAAAGAGGATCGCTGCCGAGGCCGCCGGGGAGGATCGCCACGAGAGGGAGATCGTGTCCATGATCAAAAAGGCCAAGAAATCGTCGCAGCACCAGCCCGAGGCTGGCTCCTCGCAGCAGGCCACCGAGATTGACAAGGAGGTCGAGGCCGGAGAAAAGATCGCGTTTTCCTTCGGTGGCGCTTCGAAGCCGCCGGTGGCGAAGCCGGCCTCGATCGAGAGACACGAGGAGCACAAGAGCGAGGAGAAAAATCCGGTTTTGGCCGCTGACACTCCTCCGCCCAAGTCAAAGGGAATGGGAGCTCTCGACGAGCTCATGAAGGAGCAAGAACTCGTCAAGGAGAGGAAGAACCGAAAGGACTACTGGCTCTCCGAGGGGCTCGTCGTCAAGGTGATGGCCAAGAGCCTGGCCGATTACTACAAGCGCAAGGGGGTGGTGAGGCAAGTGATCAACAAGTACGTGGGAGAGATCGAGATGCTCGACAGTGGTCACGTACTCAAGGTGGATCAGGCGGAGCTGGAGACCGTGATCCCGCAAATCGGCGGCCTTGTGAAGATCGTCAACGGGGCTTACAGGGATTCCTTGGCCAAGCTCGTGTCGATCGACGAGGACAACTTCTGCGCGAATGTACACATCGAGAAAGGTTCGTACATTGGAAGGCTTGTTCCAGGGATCGCGTACGAGGACCTGTGCAAAGTCCACGCATAGAGATGGAAGAACCAGCGGAGATGAAATTATGCTTCGATCGTTGGAACCATTTCAACGATGTACCAACAGTAATGGTATTGTTTCTTTCGTTTTCGTTTTGTTTCGCTCGGCTTGGAAGGATGTGAACCCACCCGTGGGAGCAAGCTTCGTCTGTTTGCTCTCTCACGTTTTCCTCGCAAAAGTGCGAGAGTTTTTCTAGGTGGGATAGCCGCGACACTCGGCTTCTGTCCAGCTGGATGAGTCGCGTTCCTACACAGAGTAGAGGCGGATCAAAAGCACCGAAAGCAGAGGACGAAGTTACCGGGATCTCTGGAAGTGGCGGCTGTGATCTTCTTCTGCTCGATGCTCATCTCACCCGGTAAGTTTTTCCAAAGTCTCTCTTTCGTGTTTCTAATGCGAGCTTCGGCGTCCACAGGCCTACAGATTACCATGAAAGATTGCAAGTGGTTTTTTTGCTTCCGTTTTTCCGCTCTGGTTTCTAAAGCTCTTGCCTTTCTTGCTCAGATTGTCTCGCGATTAGCCCCGTTTGTCCTCCCCAATCCGTGAGGAATATAACTTGTAGAACCGGAGGCACCGGAAGCTGCGAGTGCTACTTCGTTGGTCGATGCTATCCTCAAAACAAAGGGTGCTACATTCTGGGCGCGACGGAGCAAGTTTTCTGTGGCTTCTAGCACCATTTTCATTTTCAAATAAAACCTTCACGTTAGAAGGTAAAAAGAAGCGAGGGTTCGTCACCTTTTAGAGCTTCTACTTGAGCTTGGACTTCGCGGAGCTCTTGAGTGGGTTGACGACGGGCCTGGCGAGCGTCTGGACCTTTTGGAAGTCGTATTTCACGGACAGGAATCCAAGCGCGACCGCGACGATGAAGGCTGGATTTGCGTGAACCTGGGAACCGGAGCTTGGATTCTTGTGGAGAATGCCCTCCTTGATCAGCCCCCACGCGATCAAGAGCATCCCAAACATGCTCATTCTTCCATGCTTGAAAACTCCCACCAGCGCTCCCGCGACAGCGAAGTAACTCCCAGCAATCACCTGGGAGATGGGAGTTAGTCATGAATTTCTAGAGTTGAGCTTACCTCGAGGCGGAGAAGATCGAGACCCGGGGAGTTTGTCTCGGTGATGTTGTACTGCTCGAGGATCTTGTCCCAAGAAGGCAGCGAGAGATCGGTGATCAAGCCCCGGACGCACGCTCCAGGGAGGAGGAGAGATTTGACGAGCCAGAGAGGAGTGGCTTTGCTGCCGGCCATTTGGACGGCCGTAAGCTCCAGAGGATTGGTGCAAACGCCGGCTTGGCAGGGAACCCTGGAGGACGAGGAAGAATGCGCTATGCCAGTTGGATTGTGATTGCCTACCTGAAGAGTGGGAGCTGGAAGAGCACGATCGCCAGGAAGAGCCGGGACGAGATCGTGGCAATGGTTGCAGATCGAGAGGCTGCGCCCCGATTCCTCGCGCGGATCGTCGCCTGGCGCCGATCGCTCGTCTCCTCCATCCTAGCAGCGACGACTAAATCGAAAAAATGACAATGCCCTAGAAATATTTTGTGCGTGGCTTGGCTATGGCGTGCTCGTGCCGGATCGCTTCGCTTTCTTCTTCCTCTTTTTCATGTCTGGGCCCTTCGGCGCCATCACATTCTTCGCCATTGCTGCGCGGAGGACTCGCGCAACGGCTAGGACGTAGATTAGGGTTTAAGCTGGAGCTCACAAGGAAGAATTCGAGGCAGTGGAATGGCGCTACCGTGTGCATGGTTCTTCCTACTGGGTAAGATCACTATGCTCGCCTCCATCCATTCTCATCGATTGCTTGGATTCCACAGCAAGCCCGACGCTACATTGGAGAAGGATAAACAAGCAAAGTAAGTGGAAAGAAGATTTTTTTGCTCGCCTACATGGTTAGATTCTTCCGAAGATGGAGCGCGCGAGCGATCAAGGCTTTCAGCATGGCGGAGCTCGAGGCACGAAAGATGAAATACGCCACCACTGGAACGGAGTCTCTGCTCATGGGAATTCTCACCGAAGGTACTTACACTCTTTTCTCGGTGGATTTTTTCATCTTTCGTTGTTCATCTGTCATCTTTCATCTTTGTTTGTTTCGTGATTTCAGGGACGAGCAAAGCTTCTCTTTACTTGCGAGCAAACGGTGTGACGCTGTTCAAGGTGAGGAACGAGGCTGTCAATGTTCTCGGCAAGGCAGACATGTATTTCTTTAGTCCCGAGCACCCACCACTTACGGAGCCCGCACAACAGGCACTCGACTGGGCAGTGGATGAACACCAAAAGCTGGGTAAGTTCTTGCCAAGTTTTCACTTTATTCTTTTCGATCGAGTATATCCAGGAGCAAATGGAGAGATCTCAACAATGCTGCTGCTGCTGGGCATTTGGGAGCAGAAGAACTCGGCCGGGCAAAAGATCCTCGCTGCTCTGGGATTCGACGATAAGAAAGCGCAAGAGATCCTAGCAGCGGTACGTAGAGATCATTGTTTTGATGCTAAAAGGTTAACGAGCATTGTGGTCAATGTGGTGATGCAGGAAAGAGAAGATTTGGGAATCCCGGCCACTTGAGAGAGCAAAGGCAAACTTTTTGTGCCATGAAGAACAGAGAAATCCGCCACCTTGTCCCTGTAGGAAAAATTGGAAAGCCAAATGGGGGGAAAATCCCTAATTTTGTGGTCACATTTTTAGGGTTTACAGGAGTGATCGCAGGGGCGAAAATGGGCGTCAGTGCCTGAAGCTCGGAGTGCGCTAGAAAATGTCAATGTCAGGGAGCGCCAGCACTGGACCAGCAATCACGATTATTATAGAAGACGATGATGCCGATCTCCAAATTTCTTCCGAAGATTTGTTCTTGACTTTACCGCAGGTATGTTGCTGAGCACGTCTTGCGCCTTGCGATCACTCCAAGAAAAAAAACAAAATATCTTCCGCTTCCATTGATTTTGTTTGAATTTTTTTTGCTTCTCATGCTGTTGTTTGCTGACATTGCTCAAGGTAAACTCGGTCACTCGTCCAACACTCCACGACTTTATTGTCATTGATCCTCTGGACGATCCTTTAGAGCTGCGACTCGGTCCTTCAGGTTGCTCATAGTATTTTTTTATTATTTTTTTATTTCCTAGAGCTTAGTTTTTTCTAAGATTTAAGCTTTGCTTTGGTGTTTAATCCAGGTGCTTCCACTCCGAGACGAAGCGAGGATGCCCGTGCAGACAGGCCGGACGCTCCTCCCGCGATCGATCTCCAGTTTTCGCTTAGCGGCGAAGCCATCACCGAAACTAAGAAGGTACGTCGAGCTCTCGTTTGCTCGCTTTCTCGGTTTGTTTGATTTGTTCGCTTGTGTTCGCGTCGTTTAGACTTTCTCGTGACGTGAGTGCTGTGTAGTTTATGGCCTGCCAGCCAAGTGGTACCTCGTAGAACTTGTGTGCTGGGTGCATCGTCATCACAATCAATTTCTCGAGTGAACTTCCAGGACCACCACGTTTCGTCCTTGTTTGACAATTCCCTTTGGATTTTTCTTCTTCTTCTTCTTCTATTGATTTCCTCTCTGTTTTCTCTTTTCTTTGTTGTTTTCTCATGGGATGATCTTGCAGAGACGCAAGCCCTCCGCCGATGATTCGCTAAGCGCGGGTGTTAGGCTAACTTGTATCATCTGTATGGACGCGATGAAGGAAGAGACCTCAACCATATGTGGTCACATTTTTTGCAAAGAGTGTATTCTAGTGGCCATTCAAGCGCGCAAGGCATGCCCCACTTGCCGGAGGAAATTGACCAGCAAGGACATCCATCGCATCTACCTCTCGAGCTAAGCTAGCTCGAGAGAGAAATCCAGGGCCGCGTCTGCCGATCCACCGAGGGAAAAACTAAGAAAAAGATATGGAAAAGCAGGAAAGATATCGCCCGCCGCGAGAGATCTTCATACGTACCGCGCATGAAGAAATCGAGCAGCGGCAATTGTACCTTACGCTAGCTATAAGCTTGTCCCACCGCGGAAAAAGAAGAAGGGGTGACATTCTTCGTTCCAAAACCATATATGTGTATAAGCTATGATTCTTTTTGAAAGATTGATGATCTCTATCAATGCATTGACTGGGTGGGCAAAGAATATTTTGTCTAGTATGACATCCAAATCACAAGCTGGCCAGGCCATGCGCCACGTCCGCCGGGCGGGATCCTCCACGTCGGAGATGACGCGTCACGTGGCCTTCACGTGACGGTTCACGTGATGGCCTGGGGGCCTTTTCTTTTCACCCCACGCCACCACCAGCGCAGTAACTCCAGTTAGTTGAAAATCCGCTGGCAAGGCAACAGTTTTGGATAAGAGACTAGGAGGCGGCACTTTCACCGAGGTGAAAGAGGCCCCTATCGGCGGCGTAATGGCCGCGCGGCAGGGCCAGCGGCGCCACCGGCGGCGGTGACGGTCGCGTGGCCCCGCCGCCCGCGGGGTGGCGCCGCGTGGCAGCCAGCTGGCAGAATATTCGGCGCTCTGAAAGCTGTAGCTGGGGACTGGAACTCCTTACCCGCGCTTAGATTTTTTCGCGTTCCTCTCGCTTTTGTTCTTCTTACAAGCAACGGCGACGATGAGGAGAGTTTTCAATGGGGGGCGTTGGCACGTCGTGGTAGCGGCATCTAGAAAACGTTGATGTGTGGGAGAAATTTTCGCTGGAACAAGAAGATTTCTATCATCCCCGCGGCGTCGTCAAGGGCGTTGCATCTATCTAGATTCTCCAGGGATCCAATTGCGCGCAACTCGCCATCTCTCAATCAGTTGGGATCGCTATCGTTAGTTGGGGGGTGGAGAATCAATGCGTCGAGCTTGTTTGGTCCGTGCCAGTGCCTTTGACTGGCCAGCGTGGATTGATTTTCCATCGAAAGAGATTTCAGGGTTTCCATCGTTGCTCGCATCTTAGAATAGAGTATCTATATGATGCTCTACTCAAGGAAAACCACTAGTATAATCCCGGAATGATTGGCTTTGTCCATCGACGTGATCCATCCGGCTCATAAGTTTCTAACAAAATTAGTGTCTTTCTTTTCCACGCGCGCACGCTTGCATGCATTGCAAGCTGCTACACCGACACCCAACACATTGTTTGGTTCACCCAACAAGCACCAATTTAGGCCAAGAAACTCCATCCAAACCAAAAAAAGAGGGTGTCAATGAATTGTGAATCAATGTTCTTCCCTGGACCCTGCGCTGGGATTCCCGAAAACAACCCCACAGGCTCCGGTTGATTGATCTCACGCCGACATATTCCCAGTTTTTTCTTGGCAATTTGGCCTGGAGTGGACGAGGACAAAGCTTTACGAAAGGGGTAATGTCGGTCGATCTCCAGCGACCGATTTCATCGATCAATCCAGTCCAATCCTCCTCGAAAAAGAAGGCCAAGGAAAAAGAGTAAGATTTGGAGAACTTGTGGTGGTTCTTCCAGTTGCCCCTTCCGTACAAATCCACATATCATGAAAATTAACATCCACCTCATCAAGTGTGGATCCAACAGCCGCAACAGCGATGCAACACACAAGGGTGCGATGTCGGTAAGTACAAGCATAGATCCATGTGCGCCATGGGGCCCATGTCCGGGCATTCAAGACAACGTACGGCAGAGAAGCAGTGTGGGCGTACGGTGCCCACCCCAGGGGAAACAGCAGCATTTACTGCGCATCCCTGGAATATGCGCGGCCCAGGTGGGCTCGGGCTCCAGCCGGGTGACGTCGGCTGCCACCGTGGCAGGAGACGTCAGCGGGGGTTTTGGCAGGACACGCGTCACCGCCCCAGTTCCCCACTGTCCAAGCTGACAGATGAGCGGTGAAGATAATTCCAGCCGGGTAGTCCTCTTTTTTCCAACCGTCCGGCCGGGCGGTGGATCTTGACCACGGTTGTTCCGTAATTCAACTCGCCTGTGGCCCGTCCGATGGTGCCAGCGACGGCCAAGATTGCCCCTAGCGCTGCGCTTTTCTGTAATGTCCGTGGTCCGAGCAAGCAAAAGATCTTTGGCGATTTCGCGAGAAAGGGGCGGATCCCACTTCGCATTCCTCGCTCTCGCTCGCATTGAATCCATGATCCCACAAACCGCAAACATCCTGTACAGAGGAGGGCAGAGTGTAGAATTGCCCAGATTTTAGACAAGGAAGGCACCCAATTGACGATCTTGCCGAGCTCAGGGAAAGCAAGCTCGCTGGTGCAAAGGGTAGCCTCTCCTAGTAGCTAGCGTGTGTCTGTGGATTCGATCCAATCCACCCAGCCATTTTAACCATCTTGCGCTCTGGATGGATGTGACATTAGCCATGACGCATTGTCACTCTCTTTCATCGCTCAGCGGCAAATTCATGTCGATTCCTCGCTGCCCATGAATGAAATCATCCTGTCTTGTGTGTCTTCTCAAAGATCCCTCGTTTGTTTTTTATATAAATCCAGAGAGCCCAGTTTGCCTGGCCTAGAACAGGGGAGCCCTGGGAGAGAGAGAGAGAAAGAGAGAACCTCACTGTGAAAGGTATAGTTATGTCTTTCTCTGGCGCGTGAGAGTGTGTGCATTGGATTCCTTGCTCCTTCCTAAGCTCTATTTTTTTTTTCTCTCTTTTATTTCTTTCGCTGAGATGACTTGAGGCCACCACCACCACCACCTCCCGCCCATGTGAAAAAAGCTTCGCTGCTACCTTCTTTCTTTGCTTTGGGGCTTTGGCTTGCGAGAGGAAGTGAGAGAGATTGAGAGGTTTTCCCCGAAGCCTTTTCTTTCCCCTCTCGCCCTCACCACATTCACTCCATTCGCCATCAAAGGCGGCCACACCACCCCCGCCAAACGATCTGGAAGTGAGCGAGCGAGCGAGCGAGCGAGAGCTTGTTGTTAGCACCCCTTGGATTGATCCATCCAAAGCGTGCTTGCTTGAGCTTAAATCTCTGGGAACTAAACAAACGGGACGGGAAGTTGGCTCCTCACAGAAAAGGGAGAGCGAGAAACAAAAAGAGAGAGAGAGAAAGAGAGTCGCGTGGCAGTGCAGGCATCAGCGCTGAGCGGCAGCACAAGAGCCAGAGAGCAGTGGTTTCAAGCGCAATTCAACGCTGCCAGTGTAGATCCATTCCCCTTGCTTTTGCCCACTTTCTCTCCTTTGCTCCTCGTCTAGATTCGTTTCGCCACCATTATATTGCTCGAGTAGCAGTCACTCCTCGGAATCCCTCTATACAAGGCCGTGGAGAAGCGTGAAGAGCGGTGAATTGCGATCAAATTCTCATTCCCGGGTGACTACAGATATTGGGAGAGAGAGAGAGAGAGAGAGAGAGAGAGAGAGAGGCTATCATCTCGCTCCAGGCAGCTCTCGCGGCGAATGAAAGTGCGCGGAGCAAGGATTCGTGGGGTTTAATCCCTGATTCTCCGAGAAGAAGAGGCGTCGAAGGCGCAGGGGAAGTTGCCCGCGCATGCCCGCAAAAATCTTGGCCAGTTTTTCCATCCCTCGCCCGAGTCGCTCCACGCCGCCCGTGTCGTTCTCCGGAATTGGCCGCGTCGCTGCGCTAGCTGCTGTGTGGCTCGCTCGCCTCTGGCTCGTAACGCCCTGGGCATTGACCAGATAAATGCGCTGCTGCTCCCCATGGATTCCTCGTCGTCGGAGCAACTGGCCGGGTTCGGGATCGTGGGGCACCAGTTTGGGAGCGGCGCTAGCAGCTATGTCCTCGACATGGATCGAGTGGAGCCGCCGTTTCTCTGCGCGGGGGAGGAGCACGCCACGGACTCGTCCAGCCAGTCAAGCCCAGCCGGCGCCGGGATATCGATTGACTTTGGCGGCGGCATGGAGTCAACTGAGGAGCTCCACTACCTCATCCATGGCGGCGACCGCAGCGTGTTCGATCAATTGGACATCTTTGGGCAGCACAATTTCCCGCCGCTGCTCGACCCAGCCGCCGCGCTGGGCTGCGGCGACGCCCACCACGGCCAGCTCCCGGATTTAGACGAGCTGATCCAGGCCTCGGGCGTGGACGCGGTCGGATCCAGCAGCAGTGATGGCGAGGGCGTGGATCATCAGCACCAGCACCAGCACCAGCAGCACGAGGCGGTGCACGCTTCCGCGAGCTCGGCCACCTCCAGCGCCAGCTCCGACGCGGATGTGTGTCCCTTGGGCACCAGCAGCTCCGGCGCCACCTCGGTCATGCAGCAGGCCCAAGCAATCCAGCCGGGCGAGCCATGGGCTCATCGCTTCCCTGATGTCGGTTTCACATCCGGCATGGCCGCGGTTCCAGAGAGCAAGCAAGGGATGTTCTCGGCTTCCCAAGGAGGCAGCGACATGGAGCAAGGTTCTTCCCAAGCTCCCAATGAACAACATCAAGGTGGTGGTGGTGGTGGTGGCGGTGGCGCCGGCATGGAAAACATGCGGGAGACCTTGTATAGAATGGCGGTCTGGAGGCCCATCACGGCCACGGATTGCCTGGGCGGGAGCAAGCCCAAGCGGAGGAACGTGCGAATCTCGTCGGATCCACAGACGGTGGCGGCGAGGCACCGGCGGGAGAGGATCAGCACCAAGATCAGGATCTTGCAAAGGCTGGTTCCCGGAGGTACCAAGATGGACACGGCCTCGATGCTAGACGAGGCCATCCACTATGTCAAGTATCTCAAGTCGCAGGTCCAGGCTATGGAGATGCTGGAGCAGAGCAGTGGTGATCAACCCCTGCTCAGGAATTCATCATCAGCTGCATCATTAGCGTCCACAGCGACAGCAGCATCACAAACTGCTGCTCCAGGGATCTGTCATTTGTACAACGCGCACAGTGGAAGTGGTCTGCTGAATGGCAGCATCTTTTGGCCACAGCAGTTTTCAATGG